ATGCATTTGATAGCTGTCGCTCACGTTTTTCTTCCTCTCTTTCTCTCTTTATATCTTTCTTTCTCTTTCTCTCTCTCTTTGTTTCTGTCTTTCTCTCTCCCTCACGCACTCACTCACTCACTCTCTTTTTTTTTCTGTCTTTCCCTTCCTCACGCTTTCATTCTTTCTTTCTATCGCTCACTCTCTCTTTCTCTGTCTCTCTTTTACGCTGTGTCTCTCTTTTACTTTCTCTCTTTCCTTCTCTTTTTCTTTCACTATTTCTTTTTCCATTTATTTTTATTTTTCTCTTTCTCTTTATCTCTTTCTCTCTTTTTCTTTCTCTCTCTCTCACACACACACAAATACTCTCGCTTTCTTCCTCCATTTTCTCTCAATTTATTTTGCTTTCTTCTTTCTCCCTTTCTTTCTTTGTGTCTCATACTCAGTATTTTTCTTTTTTTTTTTTCTCTGTTGTCTTTCTATCTTGCTTTCTCTCTTTCCCTCTTTTGCTCTCTTTCTCTCACTCTCTCTTTCTTTAGTTCACTCTTTTTCCGTATGTATATATGTGTGTATGTGTTTGTAAAAACTTAATAAACACTGAAGCGTCTCTTTTTATCTCTCAGTGAAAGCTTACCTGAGAAAAGCAATCATATAACAGACTTGCATGGATACAACGGATATTTGCATTAAAATGATACTGGAAAATTGAAAACAAATGAATTCGCATGACAATGCAGAAGAATGTATACAAGCATATATATATATAAATATATATATATATATATATATATATATATAGTAGATTGTTACTGATTTGTATAAAAAAGATGGTGGCTTTCTAATACGTTGTCGCTCGTTGCTTTCAAAGCCAAAAACAACTTGACTTTCGTAGTTCACTAGAAAACAATTGGTAGTAATATGAAGCAGCACAAATGATTTTTTTGTCAGGTCATTTCGCAGACGACATTCGTTCTCAAACCATCTTTGCTGTACGACGTTCCACATGATCAATTTGCTATTTGATGCTCCTGTTGGCTGCAATCCGATGCATTTCAACGAAAAAGAATCAAGTTAAAAATCAAGTGAACTTCACATGTCTCTTTATAATCAAAAGATTTTCTTTCATGTCCTGATATTTTTTTCTTTTTTGTCGATTCTGTCTCCGTTTTATTTGATTTTTCTTTAGCCTGCATATGGTCGCTGCCATTCCCCCTCTTCTTCCCTTTCTTTCTTTTTCGTTTCTATTTTAACTCTCTTTCATACATTCTTTTTCCCTATCTTTCTCTTTTTTCTTTCTCTCTCTTTATCTTTCTTTCTTTTTTTTCTTCCTTTCTAGCTTTCTCTTGCTTCTCGCTTACTCGCTCTCTTTTTCTCTGTCTTGCTCCAAAGAGTTTTAAAAATCGGAGTTTTCGTTCTTTCTCAACGAGACGTGAAATAAAAAAAATACAATGGGACATTCTTTTCTTTTCTAGATTTTATTTTTCTGTATGTGCTATATTACCGAAGAGATCTGATAGTTTTGAGCTGGAATTGAACAGAAATTTAGGATGACTCAAAGAATACAGTTTCCACATCCTTTCAGTTATATCTAAAGCTTTATACAAACGCTCTCTCCTATCAATGGTTAAAAATGGCCTTCGAGCGAGTGAAGTCAGTAAATCCCAGCAAGAATCCTCCATTTTCGAATCTCGAGGACTGGCGCGACAGAGTTACAATCAAAGATAACAGGAACCGCATCATATCTGTCTGAATTTCTGGGATGAGGCGTTATCATCATTTACATTATTTATATTCAGATAAATATCCTCATCTTTGTTGTTGTTATCACATCTGCCTTCATCAAGCGTATATCGATCTGAGCCGTACCTTTTATTTAATCTCCGTGCATAGACTGTTCTCTTTCCACTGCCCATCTATCTTGGGATATAATCTTTCTCTCTCTCTCTCTCTCTCTCTCTATATATATATATATATATATATATATATGTGTGTGTGTGTGTGTAATTTATTATATATATCATTTATATATTATATATGCGCGATACTTATTGGAAAGCGCTCAATATCAGTGATAGAGCTAACATATTTGGTTGGATTGATGTGAGTTTGTGACCCTGGGTTTCAGGCTTTTACGATCGTTTGACTGACGATCGCAAACCCAGGGTCACAGACTCACATCATCCATCAATATATATATATATATATATATATATATATATATATATATATATATATATATATACTGAGTTCACACTGTCCGACCCAGGAATTGAACTCACAATTTCTATGTCAGCAAATTCACGAACCTAGTCCTGTAGGATAATTCTTTTTGTAGTTGATTGGGGCCTTAAACCTAACCTGCCTGCTGAATAATGTGCTGCTGGTACTACCTGTCGTGTTTTAAACTGCTGTTTGAGGACTTTCAACAACTGCAACAACTAAAATGCATATCAAATGTAACAAGAGAAAATAACTACATCATCTCAAGATGCTGACCTGGTACGTCGAGCCCGGTCAATATTTAAGTTGGGAACTGCTTAGGGACACCGAGTACTGGAAGCAACCTCCTACAATCTGAAATAATTTGGGGCTTTAAATAATCCTTAAAGGGTTTACAGGCCACAATAAAAAATAAAAAATATCGATTTCGGTTTAATCGACGATTTAAACTGTTTGCTTTTTTTGTAATCATTGTATTGGGAGAGGGGGGAGGGCGATGGGGGGGTCTTCTAACATTCCAGTCTTAGTTTCTCTCAAAGAAATTAATATTCCGAAGCAAAGGTTACGTCTATAAAATTCAATCGAATGAGTTAATGTGATGCAAAATGTCAATCCCCAATGCAATGTTTTGGTGAATATGTGTTTGTCTTACAAAGGAAATTTGCCAATCTATAGACTTTAATGTCTTTCTTTACACTTATGTTCACCAATCTACTCTGACACGAAGTTAAATTTAACAAGCTTAGTACGAAATAAGGTCCGTATGGGAGCGATCTGAGGACGGAAAGATTGTGCTGTGTTAATCCTCTAAAGGTAGCTTTAAAATCAGCTTTCGAAATTCTTTCTTTCGGTTTGAATTCAAACAACGAGAACTGAAGCCAATAAGAAATACCTAACCAAACAACTAAAGAGCTCAACTCAAATATGAACTGAATCTTTTCCGTTCTAAAAGACCTTTCAGTAAAGAGAGGATTCTTCTTCTATGTGTCGCGTTCTTTCAGGTCATAGACGATCATATCTCTCCACAACTTCCTCTCTCATGTGGCACTTAGCAGTTTTTCTCCCTTTCCTAAGGCCACCTGTTCCGCCATTCATTCACACAAGCTCGTCAGGTAAGAGGATCACTGCTTTCCTCTATCTCTCATGCCCTCAATATGCCCTCAATATGCCCTCAATATGCCCAGTGAAGATGAAGTTTTCCAAGCCCTCCTTCTTCATTTTGCGTCCAGCTGACATTTCCTGATCTTGGGAATTCCTGGTTAAGACAGTAAGCTACATCTGGCAGCAAGGTCCCTGATCAAGAGATCGTAGGGTGTAGGGTTGGGGGAGCGTGAAACAACCTCTTAATTGCTGATAATTCTGTTAAAGTCCCGGCTACAAAAATACATTTTTATAGTAAAAATACAAAGAACAAATTTTTATATAAAAAGACAAGCGATGTATATTTGGTCAGCGGTGCATATTTGTTGTAGAATGTCCAACAATACATTGTAAAGCAAAATGACCAACAATATATTTTAAATCAAAATGACCAACAATATATTTTAAGGCAAAATGACCAGCAATAAATTTTTAAAGCAAAATGACCAACAAGACTTCCGGTAAAATAACCGCCAAAATAGACTACCCACAATGCACCACTGACCCGTATATATATAAATAGCCGAGAAAATAACAGCACTTATGGCCTGACGATTGCATATAGCATGAAACAGACTGTCGCTTCTAAGTGTTGACTTCTATGTTCACTTTTATATTTACACACGCTCTATCTCTGATATTGAGCATTTTAATCCCATAAATATAACACATCGTAAGACTATATTTCTTCATATATATATATATATATATATATATATATATATATATATATAAAGGGTGTTCCAATAACTTGGACCGATTTTAAATGTGAATTAATTTTAAGCGTCTAATGATTTTTCCTTTTCTTTCAGATTTAACAACTTAAATCTTTGGCAACTTCAACCATGGAAAGATTAACAATCAAACAACGTGTTAAAGTTATCGAAGCCTATTACGAAAAAGGACGTTCAAACAGAAATGCAATGAGAAGTTCCCAGGTGGCATCATCTCTCGAAACAGCGAAGTCAATTGGCCACCACGATCGTACGACTTGACGCCTTTAGATTTCTTTCTTTGGGATCATCTCAAAAGTAAGGTCTATGCCAGCAAGCCAACAAAAATTTAACAGCTGAAGTGGGGAGATAATAAGGCATATTGGTAAGATTGAGGAGCAACTATGCAGAGACGTCATCTAAAAGTTTGACCATCGAGTGGAGGTGTGCCGTCGAAGCCTTGGCGGAATTTGGGCAATATTATTTTTCATACATAATTGCCATAATCCAATAGAGAGATAAATAAATTTTCACCAATACCACTGATTTATTTACTACTGACTTTGATCCGTCTTAATGAAACACCCTTTATTAATTCTCTGACACAAGATTTGCAAAGTTAATTTCAACATTTAACTTATTAATTCTAAGTCGGACGATTGGTCGCCGACCGTCGGCCAAAATACTTGGTAGGGCAAGAGTAACACCCTTTTTATTTAACAAAAATAAATTACAGTCGTTTAAGACTGCTTAAGATTAACTATGGCTAACACGTTCGGAAATGGTTGAATCTTAATTTTGAACTGTGGTAGATAGGACGACGGGGAGAAATTGAGTGACTGTCACGATCACTGCCCCTAATATCCCCAGGCTTTTTCTTGTAGAGTATTCTGCAAGATGTTTTTTACAGACTCAACAAACAATATATGATATTTTTTTATAAAATTAATGTAGAAATGTGTCAAATTGTCTGTAGAGGTGTTGCTGATAGGGTTCAGCATTGTATTGAAGATGGAGAGGAACATTTTAAACATGTTAGTTTTTTTAATCATAACAAATCATGTTGTTTTTTTTGTTTTGTTTTGTTTTTTGTTTTTTTGTCGCAATACTTAGAAATTTTCTTAATCTGCTGTAATTTTTTTTCAATAAAATTTAATAAATAAAAAAAAGGAGTGTTACCCTACAGGCAAGCCGCTAGTAGACTGCTGGCGGGCCGCAGATCGTAGCGCCAGTGGTCCTCTGGTCAACCTGCCACCGGTGAGCCTCTAGCGGCCCGCTCGTGTTGACATTCCAAGACGAACACGACAGAGGGCCACCAGCGGAAAACGCTAGTGGCATGCCACCAAATGACAAATTGGTGGCTTGCATCTAGGGTACTTTTGCTACACCCTGTATGTCCGATTCATGATTCATTTTTCGTCTAACGTAGCGTTGTCAAGTTTAAATATCCCGATTTTAAATCTAAATTTAAATTAAAGAGCGATAAATATCTTTTAAACCATAAATCCATTTTTTTAATAAATTATATTTCTTGGTTTGTTTGATTCGTTTTCTACGGCTTATTAACCATTTGCAGATTATTTAAAACCAGGAAAATATGTTTAGATAGTGAGATTTTTTTGACATAATAATGGTTTAGTGATACAAGTCTTACTAATTAACCCATATCTGGGGAGAAAGAGATGAACTCATACCTTTCTCAATGGCATTTGGGCGTAAGTCAGTATAACGAATCGAGCGGGAATTGGAACTCGGCTCTCCGATTAACAAATCTGGGTTATTATCCATTACATCATCCGCACATCCAAGTATTTCCAAGCGGTCACCCATCTAGGTGCTGATCAGGTTCAGCATTGCTTAACTTTGGTGATTTCTTCAAATTGGAACTCGGCTCTCCAATTAACAATTCCGAGCCATTATCCATGACATCACCCACACATCCAAGCTTACAGCGCCTGGTATTTCCAAGCGGTCACCCATCTAGGTGCTGATCAGGTTCGGCATTGCTTAACTTCGGTGATTCCTTCAAATTTGAACTCGGCTCTCCTATTAACAATTCTGAGTCATTATCCATTACATCAGCCGCACATCCAAGCACCCGGTATTACTAAGCGATCACCCATCCAGTTACTGACCAGGCTCACGATGCTTAATTTTGGTGATCGTATTGGGAACCGGCATTTCAACGTGATATCGCCGTAAACCTACATTTAGTGAGATCAGAATGAATGGTACAAGTCTGTGTACAATAATTGTTTTTCGATAGCTGTGTATTTGTAATGCTCTGCCAAATGATATGCAATATTAAATTCAATACATGACAGGATCAATATTTACTTGAACGTGCCATAGATGAGCTTTCGTTATAATGTGTCTGATATCCCATGGGTTTTCCGTCCAATGGGGCTTTAC